TGCAGGTAGCTTGAGGTTTGGTGTACTCCATCTCCACACCTTCAGTTAATTCACCTTCGCTGAATGTCTTGAGTTTCCCAACAGCTTACTTGAAGAAAGCAATCTGATTTTCTTGTAATCTGCTATTCATTTTGATGCACACAGGTTAATATTAAGTAGGCCACAGATATTTACAACTAAAGTTAGAAACAAGAAAAATATTCCAGCATTCTCAAGCTTTCACATGCAGCGTCACACCACAAAGATAATACCTAAATTAGATGACACCAAGTTTTTAATCCTCTCTTCAAACAGCCAAATAATATAAAGCTACTGCAAGGACTACTCCCATTAGTCAACCTTCCCATAATTCAGCAGTCTGTTGCCAGGTTTCCCCAGATGAGAAGATGAAAACTATACTATCCCCACTCTACTTAACAGGCCCAGTCTGAAGAAAAGGCAAGGTTATTGCAACTGTGACAGAGAAGTAGATAAGACAATGCCTTCTGTCTGCCCACAGAGCATGAGGAAAGCCATTCAAACAGCCACACAATGACGAAAAATAAAAAATCTGGACTCCTATGTGGTTTGTTAATATTTGCACCAAGTAGAGCCAGGAAGTTACAATCTCTCCCATTGGTTTTTGGGAGAGATTGTAATTTCTCTGCCTTTTCTTTCCCAGGAGATGGGCAAAGAATGGGAATGGGTATGTACTGAAAAGAAGGTTACTCTGATGATTTGCAGCTCATACACAAAGTTTCTGGGCTGACAATCTCCTGGCTTTGCATTACAATTTGCATCACATTTGTAATTGTATTACCAGGACAGCTTTAACTTCATTAAGGATTCACAGGTAAAAAGCAGATGCTGAATCAAATCTTATAAAGCAATGTCTGCATTAAAGGGAGCTACACCAAGCAGAAGCTAATTCAACACCTTCTCTTTTTGGTTTGTAAAGAGGATATTCATAATTTCACTCAGGAAAATAAATATATATGTGAACTGAGGTAAGGTTTATTTGAACTAAAGAGCAAAAAATTGTGTGGTTTGGAATGTTTGAGTTCATGCTGCATTAAAGTGCAGCTATTTAAAAAGAAATTATTCCAGGAACATATTATCCTTTCCTGTGGCTAATATATATATAAATTACTTTAAAAATTTACTCAAATTGTAATATTTCCTCTCTCTCCAGTAAATATAAGAGCTTAGCATTAAATCTATGTTTTAAAAAAATCTTATATATTCTAGGGACTATAAGTTCAGCCAAACGAGGCCCTTGCAGCCGAGTTTGCCGCTCTGCTTTTGGCATGAGTACAAATGAAATACTCCAGAAGACAGATATGTTACATTCTTTCAGGTGTTTTGAGTTAACATCCACGGAACTCAAGGAATTTCTGTAGAAAAAAACCCGTCTTCAGAGAATTTCATAACCTTCAGTTGGGAAACATGAAAGGAAAGTTTCCATAAGACAGAGCATACTTTCCTTTAAAAACCATCAATAGCAATTATAAAATATATTATACATATTGTATATAATAAATTCAATTTTATATAATTTTTTAAAACAGAGATCCTGTTTCTAAAAAGGAGTGGATATGCACTCCATGCATAGAGCTACTCTTATGAAGTGGATAGAAATGTGTGAAGGAGTACCACTATGGATTGTTATCATACTGTCCTTTGAGTCATGCCAAGGAAGTAAAATTGATAATGAAGAATCTTCTTTTGGGACCAGGAGAGCTCCAGCTTTCCTGCTTGTGCTGTCACATGCATGAGCATAAAATGGAAGTTGTGTTTGTATCCATTGCCTCAGATTATAGCTCGACTGTTGATCTGAATTCCCACAGCCCTTGTACTCTTGGGACCTACCCTATCTCATTTGAAGGAGACTGCATACTGTTTTTCCCCTTTACAGCCTCACCATCACCTTGAAGCTAAGCCTCTCTGTTGATAACCTGAAGTCTCATTTTCACATTTAACAAGTTTCCCTATAGGTCAATTATTAAAGACTGTTCAATACCTAGGATGGAGCTAAATAAATTAAGAATTAACCATTTATTTGTCAACTTTTTCAAAGTCACATTTTTCAATAGTTGCCTAGACTTGTCTCCTTTTAATAAATACACCAAAATGGCATCTGCATATCCTGTCATAGGTATTGGACCCTGTAACTGCTGCATACCCACCATTACAGCATCCAGACTCACAGTTTCCAAATCAAACCTATAAACATCATGGTGGCACTAGAAAATCTTTCTAAGCTCCCTCCAAAAGCATACCAGAGGTAAGAATCTCCCTTGTATTTAGGTAAAGTCTGCTTCAAAGTTATTTTTTCATATGTGAAGAAGATTCTCTGTATTTCTTTTAGCCCATCCTAGATATTTCAGTTTTCTTTCTCCACTGCAAGCAATAAAACACTTTTATGTTCAATACATGAATAGTAGAGATTTTTTAAAGCCTAACATTTTACAAGGTTTTCCTAAAGCTTGAAAAATGTGAATGATCTGTGAAATGGCTCCATACATTAAAATGCAACTCGGGCATGCCAGTTCTCCATCTCTCCCTTTATTCATTACTTAGAGGGCTAGGACCCATCCTGGGATGCCTTGCACTAGGAGGGAAAGCACATAACTAATTTCCTAACTGCTCTGTTTACTTTGCATACCTTGTGGGCAAAAGTTGGCAAGAAAGGACTGGAAGCTGTTTGCTTTGAAATTATCACCCCATTTACAAGATTCAAGAGCAAAGTCTTTTAAACTGAGGTAAGAGAGGAAAGGAAGTGACTCTCTGCATGGTTAATGCTTCAGGAGAGTGCTAGCAGTGCACTGGAGGCCATCAGCTGAGAAAGAAAGCCGACACCAAAAAAGCTTCCTCACAAAGTGCACATGGACACAATATTTAGAGCACCAGAGAGAATAGGGGCACTAGCCAGATCTAGGTAAAAGGGTTGTATTTAGTTTAAAGCCACCTCGTCTTACTTGAAACGAAAAAACAGCTACACAGGAGCCTAGCTGCTATTGAAAGTACAAACTCAACACCCTAACTCTGTTTGCAAAAGCCTCTTCTTCCCTGACTAATAGGGCCACCCAAGATGGGACCAGCAGGAAGGGAAGAGCGCTACAGACACAGGCGGGGCTTGATAACACAAAGAACTTGGCAACAAAATTACTTTAAGCAGGTCTTGAATCCTCCTCTTCTTTTTTTTTTTTTTTTTTAATGGGCAGGGTGTGGGGATTGCCTTCCAGCTTCTCAGTCCAACACTGCAAATTATCATGTGTTTGCACAGCCATGCTGTGAAATACAGCAGAGATGAAGGGAAATGTTTTTTCCAAAGCCCTATAACAGCTACATAAAATACAGTCTAATGCTGGATCAACTCTCCTGTCCCGCTCACAGCCCAGTTCCACACAACAGCATGGTAGCACAACCAAGCAGGTACTGACTGGCCACTGATGGCAGGAACTACTTACAGCAGAGCTGCCACTGAAGATTTCATATCATTGAATGATGGTCTGTGCCCGCTGCTAACCCACTTGGAACAAAAATGCTCCCTCCTGCCAAGTCAACTCATGGATACAGAGCACAATGTGAAAGTGCTTTGTAGGAGGCTCTGTTCAAGCCAGGAAATCTGGGATGCAAGGTTTACTTTTGCATAGGGGCTTTTGGGAAAGCAACATGGGATAATTTAAGAGAATTACCAGGTCCCTATCCTTTCTGGTCAAGAAGGAATGCTGCAGCATCTACTTGCCCTACTTATACTTGACAAAAATACCACCAAATTGTGCTTTTCTCTACAGATTTCCCAAAATTCCACAAAGTGAAGCAATGAAAAAAACAAAAAAACAAACCAACAACAAAACCCACACCCATCCACACCCCACCCCCCCAACAAAACAAAACACACCACAAAATCACAGAGAAATTAACTTGTTTGCTAAAGACAGCAACAAAACCACCATGCTGAAGTCCCCAGTCAAGAAACCTACAGCACCCCACTGCTACAGTGGCTTCCATAGATGGTAGGCTGGGCACCAAACCTACTCACAATCAAGCCCAGACTTCTGGTATTCCAGTAAGTATGCCAGTTTCATCTGACTGATTCCACTGAATTATTAGCATGGTGTTGGAGCATCTCAGTTTGGGACAGAGACCTGTCTATCCATGCCAAGTTATTACATGTGAAAGGTCTGAGAAAATAGAAAAGTCTCTAAGAGGGAGGGAAAGGATGTGAGTATGTAACCATTTCTGGCCACAAGCTTACAAACACCTTCTTTTACCAACAAGCAAAGTAATAACATAAAGTAACTCTTCAGCACTGCCTCATTCATAAGCTCCTAACTTCCAAGGCTGCTAAACCCTCTTCTGGTATCAGAGTTCCTGTTCAAGTATAATTCAAGTAGATTAATTAAGCCACAGACAACAGAAAACACAGTCTGCCTCTTCAAATTATCAGTAGGAGAAAATAGCATGAAGAGTTTAGTTTCAAGAATGCTGTTTATATTTACTCATTTTACAGGCATCAGGATCAAAATTAAAAGAGAATAGCTAATTGCTACAACTGGGAAAAGTAAATAGGCATTTAAATTTGAACAGTGGCAACAAGCAAAACATTGCAAAAGTGAAGTGGAAAGCGTTACTCTGAGCAATTGAGATACTACGTTTTGATTACTAAGTTAACTTTGAGATGATTCACACCCACAAGTTGCTTAATGTCCTATTACACCACAGGTCCAGGACACACAAAACTATGCATAAAAATCACTGTGGAATCAGACAGCATCCAGGACAATTACAAAGTAAGCGCATTTTCATGCCAGATTATTACACTAAATTTGAGGCTGTGACATTTCAACCTAAACCCTAAAGCACAGATATCCCACAGACATCTCTCATCTTGCTGCACCAAGCAGTGCAGTGCTCTACACAAGAAACTCCTCCTTCTCAAGCAAGCAGCACAACACTTTGGAAGAAGAAATGGAGGTAAAACAAAACCCTCAGTCCAAAAAGAGTTTTTAGCCCACCTGAGCAGCACAAGCGTTTCTAGTGAAAGGGATTTCTTGGGGCTCAGGCTTCTGTGCAAATAGGGTCCGGGATGAAATGCCTTTTGATGTGCACTTGCTCCTGCTGGAAGAGACACAGAACAGATGCTTCAGAGAACACATAAGACAAGGGACTAGGCAATATGCACAATCAAACATAAAGAGCTCGCTCAGGGGGTCTATGGGCATCCTAACTGAGGAATCATTTTGGAGCTGACATCTTAAGGCTTTGCAGAAAGTTCCTCATTTTTATCTTTATAAGAGTAAGGATGGTGAAGTCTATTGCTTTGGCATCACATTGAAGGCTTTTGCAGCAACTGAAAGCTTAAAGATGCGACATAAGCAACAGATATCAGATCATTGGGATTTTAAAAACAGGACATCAAAACATACAGGACAAATATGTAAAAATTAGTTAACTTCAAGATCTCAGAAAATCTATCATAAGTAACATCACAATGCAACTGTAATGCTTCTTTTGCAGTTCAAAATTACTGGGATTATGCTCTACATTAGCTAAGTGTTTTATTAGCTACCTGGAAATAAGCAAGTCCTTTATGGTAAAATTAAGAGATTACATGGTTTAGTAACATAAGAAATAAAGAAGGCAAATCATAGAGTTAACACAATTACTTGCTAAGCTGTGCTCATTCCAACCAAAACAATCTTAAGATACCTGAATGCAGATATATATCTAGTAACAAGGGATGCAGGTAAAGTTTGCAGATCAGAGAACTGTGACCTCTGAAGCAAGGAAAGCAAAAGGGATAAGGTCAACACAGCCTCACAGCTAAGCATCACAAGCAGAGCTTCTGCTGTTATTAGAAGGGCTAAGGTGGCTCCTGGGTTCAAAGATATAAGAGTGAATGGAAATAATGATTGGGGTAGCATGGGGCAAGAGTAACACTGAAATACTCTGCCCAGTTCCATGGTTGATGCTCAAAAAGTGATGTTGAAGATTACAGAACATGCAAAGTAGAGCTACAAAAGCAATTAACATCTGGGGGGGAGGGGGAGGTAAAAAGCGTTATGTATAATCAGATTTAAAGGTTCAGTCCTTTTGATAAGCCACCCAGACAACTGACAGTTTACTTGATCATCTTTAAGGAAAAAAAAATTATCAGCAACAAAAAGTCTTTAATACAGCCACAAGAAAACTTAAAAGGCATGAACAGATGCAATTTAAAACCATAAAAGGCTATTGTTAGAAACAAGACGAAATTCTGAAAAGGCAAAACCAAATGGGAACAAACTCTTAAAGATGGATTCTTTTTTTCTCAGAATGTTCAAGGTAAGATATGCTTTAGTCCCAGAATTTGCTTGGCCCATGAGCAATAGCCAAATGAGGTGTTCAAACAGTTGTGAGACTTGACAGTTCCACTGACCCTAAACTATAGATGACAATCTCAAAAAACCCCAAACAAAACCCAAAATCAAAAAAAAACCCTCAATCAAAAAATTTTAAAAAGAGCCCACAAAGATATTGCCCTGCATTTTCATCAATGTTACCGAATAACAAATTAAATGCACAATGGACTGTGAAATGCTTACAGATCTTCCCCCAGTTAAATGTCAAACCAAGAAGCCATCTGTTAATAAAGAGAGATGTCACCTCTCCAGAGTTTTATCCAACCTACTAATACATAAACTCATACCACCACTTAGGACTTTGGATTGCCAAGGCAAATAAAGTCTTATGGTTTTTTATCTTAACAGCTTGGGGAGGCAGAAGGTGACAACACCTGGACCACACATCACATGCATAATCCGAGCCATGAAGCCAGCTTTGTGGTTGCAGAGTTACTGACTCTTGAAAAACTTCTTAAAAGTACTCGCAAAGACACTTCCTGTCTGTGTAGAAGCTTTTCAGACAAAACCATTGCCATCTGACATGTGTGGGGGAAAAGGAAACCTCAAAGTCACCCACATATACCCATATGGGAGATGTGCACACATCATAACCACAACTGCAGTTTACATGAGGTGTTAGTTCATGAGGGAAAAGTTCCAGTTGCTGATGATGCGTGTTAAAACTGCACAGAAAAAAAATTTCACAGAAAAAATTTTCACAGCTTTTAAACTACTTAATCATAAAAGACTGGAAATAGAAGAGGTCAAATTACTGCCTTTATTGCCCTACAATTCAACAGGCCCAACATTAAGTTTATACCAATTTGTCCCAAACTGATTCAATGAAGATAGCATGTAAGTTCAACATACACTATGACAATACACTAAGGAAGGCCAAATAAATGTTCTTCTGATATATTTAAGAGAGATATTGCATATTTTGGACTTCCAGCTGCTATGAGCATAATCAGATCTCTTAAAGGGAGATTAACTAACTAACTGAAGCTGAAGGAGATCATACCCTTCTACTATTAACCATTCCAAGTGCCCTGTATCTTCAGGAAACAAGAAGCTTTTATTTGCTTTGCAGGCCTAGTTTAAATCCCAGCAAAAGATGACTAACTTGTCCTGATTCACAATGATAAACTTCACCTTGTATTTCAGTTGCACCCTTTTTACCAGATCAATTTGGTTTATATTTTCTGCCCTCTGCTTTCTCCCTGTGGCTGAATACATTTGACCAATAACAATTTTCCTACAGGGCAAACACTGGTTAAAAAAAATGGTCCTTCATAAATTCTAAACAGTGATGCCAATAGGAATGTAAGAGCTAGATCTTCTTTATATACAACTCTTAGACGTCAGAAAGAGATACTATCTCTTCTTAAACTATCTAGAATATAAACAAGAGGCCTGGGGAAAAAGATGTGAGGAGTTCACTCCTCAAATTTTTACATATTTAAAACACAGTCAGTAAGTATAGAGAGAACATTAAGCTTTCTGCATTCCTTCTCTAAGACACAGAGCTATCACATTAACAATTCCTCTAGATACAGCACGATTAGCATCAGGTTTATGAGAGCATCCTTCAGTCCAAGTCAACATGCAGACCTAATCCAGTTTAACTAGAAATATGCTAGCCAGGTCTGTTCAGCAATTAGCATGAACATACCTTGTTAAAAAAAGTAAGTTCTGGTACAATTCAATTTAAGTGCTGAACATCTCATGGATTTTTATTTAAAATCATGTTGTTCACAGGCAGTTTGCATGTACCTAATCTGGAAGAGTGGCTGTGATGAGTCTACTTGAAGGTACAGCACAGAATTAGGACATCTCAGGCGCAAAGTTTTTCTACAGCTTCCTGGATTATTGTAAGATTGAGAAGGCAGAAAAAAATATATCTGCAACATGAAGATAACTGATTGTCAAGTAATACCAAGGCCATTCACTGCAAATTATGTAAATCATAGAATCAGAGAAAGGTTTGGGTTGGAAGATACCTCAAAGATCATCTCATTCTAGCACTCCTGGATACCTTCCACTAGACTAGGCTGCTCAAAGCCCCATCCAACCTCACCCTGGCCATATCCAGGGATGGGGCATTCACTCACAGCTTCCCTGCACAACCTGTTCCAGTGCCTCACCACCTTCACTCTACAGATCTTTCCCTAATAGCTAATCTAACCTACTCTCTTTCTATTTGAACCCATCCCTCCTTGTCCTGTCACTACATGCTTTTGTAAATAGTCTTGCCCTATCTTTCCTGTTAGTTCCCTTCAGGTATTGGAAAGCCAGTTAGATCACCCCAAAGCCTTCTCTTTTCCGGGCAGAACACCCCTAAGCCTCTCAGCCTGTCTTCACAGGAGAGGTGCTTCAGCCCACTCATCTTCATGACCCTCCTCTGGACTACTCCAACAGTGCCACAACCATCTTATGTTGCTGTCAAGCTGCTGGCCAGGCTTCTCCAATACAGCCCAGAACACAGTTGGCTTTCTGGGCTGCAAGTCTGCATTGATGGGTCATGTTGACTTTCTTGTTAATCAACAGCCCCCAAGTTCTCATCCTTGAGGCTGCTCTCAATTCATTCTCCATCCAGCCTGTACTTGTGCTTGGGATTTCCCCAACCCAGGACCCTGAACTTGGCCCTGCTGAACTTCATGAGCTTTGCACAGGCCCACCTCTCAAGCCTGTCCAGATTCCTCACAATGGCATTGCTTTCCTCCAGTGTGTCACTGCACCCCACAGCTTGGTGTCACTGGGAAACTTGCTGAGGGTGCACTCAATCCCACTATCCACGTCATGAACAAAGCTGTCAAAAAGTGCTGATTTCAATACTGATCCCTGAGGAACACCACCGGAACACCAATGGTCATCATGCCATTCACTACAGCTCTTTGAGTATAACCATCCAGCCAATTCCTTATAAGCTGAGAGTCCATCTGTCAAATCCACGTCTCTCCATCTTAGACAACTATACCATGTGGGACAATGTGAAACTTTGCACAAGTCCAGGCAGATGACATTGGTTGCTCTTCCTTTATCCCCCAACACTGTAAGCTGGTCACAGAAGGCTATCAGATTTGTCAGGCACAGTTTGTCCATATTGAAGCCATTTTGCCTGTTACAAATGACCTCCTTCTTTCCCACGTGCTTTCATGTAGCTCCCAGGAGGATCTGTGCTATGATCTTGCTGGACCCAGAGGTAAGTCAGGAAGACTGATTGCCTTCATTTTTTACTTGTGGCCTTAAACTAGTGATGCTAGTTAACAAGAAAACAACTGAAACACTAGGAATAAGGTTTTAATTGGATAACTAACTTCTTGAAGACACTCTTTGATTGAATAAATCAACTACTAAATTCACTTGTTTGCAGAATTGCAAAGCTTTTTGACCAGGGGCATGTCAAAAGTGAAACTACAAAGGCAGAAACTTGGAAGCTAACTACAAAGGTGGAGCAAGGTCAGAAGTGTTTCAGAAGGTGCCAGGTGGACTCTGTCCCTGATGAGTATGGAGGCTGACGAGCCTGGGGAACTCGGCGTGGTGCTAATCATCAATCCGTGCTGGCGCCAGCTCCCAGAAGCTGAATTCCAAAGGGAAACCAAGTGTCCCTACAAGCACGTGGCTGGTGACCACAGCTCTGCTGACACATTCCTGAGGGCAAACTCTGTCCTGCATTATGGTAGTGTAAAGCTGAGCAGTGAAGCAGGGGCTGACCATCACACTGACACTGAGAGTTTTTAAAATAATTATTAGTAAAATTTATTAAGCACAGACATTTTAGACATTACAACAACTAAATATTCCCTCAACCACCTGAGATGCAAACCCAGAGAGTTCAAAAAATTATATATTTCCAGAGACTCGACTGCAGAGACAGAAACAGGAATACTTGATTTTAACAGATAACTAAATTACTATCTGCCTAAAGAAAGTAAGCCCCAGGTCCACAAGATCCCCTGAACAGCTTTCCAGTCTCTCTGGTTGCACCAGGGCTTGGGCAAACATGTGTCCTCTCCTCCTCCATCTGTCCTCTGCTGCCTCCAGAGCAGCAGAGGCCAAGGACTCCAGGTCTCCTTTTGTAGCCAGATTTGATCAGTTTTATAGACAGAGAACTTTTTGTACCATTAAGTCACTGATCATTAAATAAAATGTCTGTTTTGAACTCCTTATTTCTAAATGTGTTTGATCAATTAAAAAGTAAAACAATTTACTTTCCAAATACAAAGTTTTTGGTTTTGTCACAACAGACACCCCCCTCAATCACTTACTCAGGCTATGTGATTTTATTTTCAACAAGGATTAACTGACCAATGTCAAATCCAAGTTAGACTCATATTTAAACAAAACTCTTTAAATAATACTCCACTAATCCTAGTTATCCCTGGCCTTATTACAGCTAATAATATTCTTTTTCTTGTTTGTTTGGGGTTTCTTTCTCTAGCAGAAGCCATTTAAATAGACCCTCCGCTATAAGCTGAGCTTTACAATTTCCTATGGTGCATAAGAAAACCTGCAAGAAAAGTCAAAATAAATATCCACTACTGAGTTGAACAAAAAGGTAAAAGTGAAGGAGTAGGAGGAACACCACATCGAGGTTGTTTGTTTACTTAATTTCATCATAATTATTTAGACTCTCATCTCACTAATAGCTGTGCAGGTGCTAACTTTCCTTCAAGAAGGACCTAGAGTTTTTGTTTGCATAAATCAAGTACATTTAATCAAGTGCACATTAGCTCATCAACACATTGGATCTGATGAGAAATTGCATAAGTGACAATGCCAAGCTATTTCGGTGAATATTCATGATATCTCTGTGGAACAGGCTGACTGGAGGAGAGTGAGAACAAAATGACAGTAAAAGAACGGTAGCAATTACTTTTCTAGCAGTTAATGTTGCCATTAACTGCTTGCTGGCAAGAGCTTAAAGTTGCAAACCCCAATTTAAGCTTGTTACCTTAATTTTACAATTGTAATTCAATATTCTGAATGTGGCACCAGTGTAACAAATATCTTCATTCAGTGCTTCATACAATAAATAATTTAAAATATATGAAATTTTCCAAATTATAGCCATTCCAAAAATATAAATGCTTAGTATTACATCTTCATAAAAATAAATAAATGTGCAAATCTTTTTCTCCAAACTGACCCAGAATCCAAACCCGTTTGCAAAATAAAGTGGGACTTTTTTGTTCTTAATAGGCATTCATGAACAGGTCTCCCTTCAAAATGTAATTTGTCCTTAGTGATCTTCTGCATGCAAGGCAAACAACTCCGAGTTTTATAAAGCTATACAAAACCTTTATCCAACTTCCAATATCATCTGTAGAAAATTCAGGCAGAGCAATGCTGTGCCCTGAGTGAGGATATTTTACATAACAAGTCCTCAAGTCAGATGAACTAAGAAAGACTTAGATAAAAGAACAAAAAAACTTGGATCACTTTTAGATTTCTAGAATGGATGAAGGAGGAGAGGAAGAGAGAGCTGATCAGGTCAGCACCATCTACTACATCCTTCTGAAACCCAGAGCCTTGTGTGCTGCTGACCAGCCTACAAAGAAGTTCACACAGCTTCTCCTCGTGCAGAGCTTCCTCCCCGCCACCACTGCCCACCAAGTTCTGGTATGAGGTACTTCACTGGACTCACACCTGCCATTTCAGAAGAATTTAGATGCTTATGGACTATGGTTCACAACTGCAGCTCAAGTCAGCTGACCCCAACCACTGGCTTTGTCCCTCTGTCACAAGAGAGAGATACACAGGAGATTCATGCTATCAGACTTCACAACACTAATGTGAACAGCCATAAAATACAGTTTACATTCATATGCCTGTCTGTAAACTCTGGCAGATTCAAAGTTCAATACCAAATAACCCTGAATGGCAGAGTAATCTCTGGCAAAGGGACAGGATGAACAGCTGAATGCATCAGCTTCTGGAGCAAAAGTCAGCGTCACAAGTGTATTTATTGTGCTATCCTTCCCATGTTGTTGACAGTCCAGGAGTATCAAAGAAGCCTGATTATCAACACTGTTGTAACAGACTATCACAAACATCCAAAGTTTCAGTTGCACATTTTTGGGGGGTTCTTGTTACTACAAAATACAGTATCACATTTTGATGGGTTGACCCTAGCTTCTTACAATAATCTCAGATGATTTAAACTCCTTCCCAAACACTGACACCATTTAGTTTCTGTATTTAAGTAATATATTTTAAGAAAGACTGTTTTCTAGTTCACAGGCAATCACACTAGGCTTTAGATCCACAAGTGTTCTAGGTAAGGAGGACGAGCCATGCTAGGCTTGGAACTAGGCTTCCTTCCTTTCTCCCTTTTGTTTTGGCTGGAAGCATGTTCTATTCTGGTGTATCAATTGCAGGCAGCAGCCCCCGTACCCAGGTGTGCTGGATCTGTCTCACAACCTGACAGGCAGGCAGGGCATTAAGCATCAGCCCAACATGCATGTATAATCTCACTCCCTAGCAAATAGTGAACAGGTCTCCCAGTTGATTTGCCTATAGCATGGTACATAGCTGTTGCAAGACCAGTTGCACATTTCAAGCTTTGGGGAAAAAAAATTTAAAAAAAGAATTTTTTCAGCCCAAATTTAGAATTGATATATTCTGAAAAAAACTGTTAAGAAAACTGAAATCAATCCTAGGTACATACCAGCAGCCTATTACTAACCAACCTTTGCTTCCTCCTAGATTCCATTGCAATGAGAACATAAACAGTAAAATAAGCATATATCTCCCTCAAATGAATTACCTATTCAGAGTTCCCTCTGGTGTTCAATAAGCTCATCATCACATTCAAGGTAACAGCCTTCGTTACAAAAGAATAAGTTCCCTCACGAGCAAGTTATCATTTGATGATGAGCTCAGCAATAAGGACAGGACCATGGTGTTGTAACTCGTAGACAAAAGCAATGTTATTTTCCATCAGATTTCAGAGAGGCGATAAACTTACACTTCCTCCTTTGTATATTCAACCGAGTGTCTGATTAACCTCGAAAGGACCCAAAGTGTTAAAGATCCTTTCTGCCTCCCGATGTCACCAACACCGACGAAGTCTCGGAGAAGGCAAAGTCACAAATTACAGGTACAGCCCATCTGAACGCGGCACGCAAAGATGTTCTGCACCTCCCGAATAACTATGCTTTGAGTCACAAGCCTTTCCAGCCTCGCACTCCCATTCGCCTCCACGGAACATGAGCAAAGTACAGTGTATCTAATTAACAGTTTGGAAAGAAAGTTTAAAGCTGCCTCTGCAAAGAGACAAAATGCGTTTGCAGGAAAATCCCAAACGAGTTCCCGAGTCGGCGGTGCGCAGGCGGAGCGCGGGGTGGGCGCCGGGCCAGTGCCAGCCGCGACACCGGGGCTGCTGACCCCGGCCGCCTCGGGGTTGCGAAACTCCCAGGAAGAGCAGCCAGCCTCCATCGAGTGGGGCGGAGGGAGCTCGCCGGACACCGGCGCACCCCGGCCGCCGGTCGGGAGGAGCCGATTCCCCGCGCCTCCCCCACCTCCCCGCCCTGCACGGCGGCTGGGAAAGGCGCTCCGAGTCCAGAGCCGCCGCCCGGGAGCCCCTTAACCAAAACCATCTGGTCACGGGCAGCGCGGTAGAAAGCCCCATCCGCCCCGGCCCTCGCCGCTTACCCCCGGCCCTGGTCCCGCAGCAGAGGAGGAGAGAAGCTGCTCTACCCACAACTCAGCAGCTCCCGAGCTGGGGGAAGTCTCCGAGGATTCCGCCTTCCCCCTCCCCTCCGCGCCCCATCCCGCGGCGCGCGGCGGCAGGGCTGGGGCTGCGTTACCTTCAACAGGTGCAGGCGCCGGCGAGGCAGCCCGCGGGCACGGACCGTCCGAGCTGCCCGCGCGGGAGCGGCGGCCCCGGCAGCCCGGGGTGGGTGGCGGTGGGCTGGACAGAGGCGCTACGGCAGCCCCCGGCGGCCGCCCATGCTCCCGGCGGGCCCCGCCGCCGCCGGAGTCAGCGCGAAGGCGGCAGCGGCTGCGGCCACCTCCGAGAGGAAGGACGAGAGCGGCGGGGAGCGAGGGAGGGGGAGGCAGAGAGCGAGAGGAGAGAGAAACCGCCCCAAGAGAAATAATCATCACATGGCGGTCACGATCCGCCGCCGCCCCCCGACAGCCAGAGCCTACGCTTGGGAGCCGGGGAAAAGCTGCGAGGAGGGGACACACCTGTAGGCGCAGCACATATCCGCTGTGAGCACAATGCGAGACAGGAAACTGAAAAAACAGCCCAGGGAAGGAGAGAGGCTCCCGTTCGTCCCTCCTTCCCTCCCTCCCTTTCTCCCTCCCTCCCTCTGTCCGTCCTCCTCCTTCTCCTCTCTCCACCCCCTGCCCCCGGTCAGGATCCGCTTGCAGCGCTGTCTCATGCAGGGAGATCCAGGCAGAAGGCTGGGAGGCGGCAGGAGCCGTACTTTCTCCCCGTTTTCCTTTCCCTGTCTGCGCTTTGTTTTGCCCGGCAGCCAGGCAGAGGCCAGCTCGGCGAAGCGGGGCCGCCCGCGGGGCCGAGCGCTCCCGGAGAACCGGGGGCGCTCCGAGCCCCGCCGGGGGACCGGGGCCGGGCCGAGGCTGCAGCTCCAGCGCTGCGGGCACCGAGCCCCGGCCGGCCGTGAGCCCTTGGGGTGAAGAGCGGGGAGCGGCGGGACTGCCGGGAACTGCCTCCGGGCCGGGGTCGGCGCTTGGCCTCCGCGGCGCTCTCCAGCGGAGCGACGGCACCGCTGGGAAAGGGTCTGCCTGCTGGTCTGTACCTGAGGGCCTTGGGGTACGTGTCGTATCCCGGTGGTGTTCTGAGGACGCTCCCGGACATGAAGGAACATTTTAATTCCCACCCCTTATCTCCTGAGTAGAGTCTCTGAGCACCCAGACTTTTCCTCCCTTCTTGTACACCCTTGTGGATGAGGGGCCCAGAATATGTCACTGGCATCACTTTTACTGAACTTGAAGTACTCTGGGGTTTATCCCTGTAAGGTAAATCCTCTGCAATCACAATTTCTGCAGGTTGTCTCTCTGCTCAAGCACTCTACTAAAAAGCCTGTGTGCAAATTTTTCATGCCTTCCTCCATAAACAGATCAACAGAGTTATTGCAGAGCTCACTTCCCACCTGTTGTGAACGCGGCATCACTGTGCTGCAGCATCACCATCTCCACGTTCAGATGTTACATTTGTCTCAACTATAGCTAATGTAAGGATAATCTATTAAAAGAGGGATGTCTTAGGATAATGGCTCAGGTAAGCTTTGGTCAGGGTGTTTATACTTTGTAACTTTCCAGCAGTGAAATGTGGACCAGCAATGTTTCAAGCAGTAATTAATTAACTGCTCTTGGCACTTTGAGTGCAGCTTCATTAAATGCTGTGTGTTGTGCTCCCTACTAAAATACTGGAGACAGGCGGTCTAAACGCCATGCTTCCCAAACAGGAAGCTGCTGAAAAGTTACCTTTGCACCTCAAAACAGCCACAAATAAAAAATAAATAAAAATCAGCTCCAAAAACCTGGGCAAGAATAAAGTTATACTTTTGGAAGAGATGTTAAAAGTGGCTTTCAGACCCTGTCTGTGCAAAGTGCCACTGCAGACTTAACAGTGGGTTGGGAGCATTCAAACATTATATAGAGTTTTGTGGGGTTTTCCCTTTGGGATTGCCCAGGGGAGGCAGACTGTGCTGGCCGAATTTTGCCAGTCTGGCCCAGTTAGTGTGCTAACCTCTACCAGTAGGCCCTTGTCCTTGTTTTTTGGCTTCCTTCCTGCTCTTCACTTGACTGGGCTTAGTCACTGCAAGATAAGAAAGAACAGCTCTGGCATAACTCTAGTGTTTCAGAAGGTCTGGATTCCCCTTCTGTACCTCTTCACTTACTGGAAAGCTGAAAGGGAATCTGAAGAGAGAGATGGGACTTCCCTAGGAAAATGGAGTTAGTCACGTCCTGCAATCCTTGTGAGGAAGCCAGTAAGGAGAAACTCACAGGCTGCTAATGGGCTTGGTAACACCTGACTTTCCAGGCTGCTTTCTCAACATCTGGGCTTCTGGCCAGGTTGTACCCTAAGTTTTGGCAGAATGCCCTGGAATTACCAGCCTGGCAGCTCTCTTTGTGCCCTGGGCTGTGAATCTCTGCCTTCCATCATACTCTGCCCCAGGGCCTTTTGCTGGGGTCTCTGTCACTCATCCCCCTACCCTGCCTGCTCCAAACCTAATGATCTTCCCTCTCTACTCTGGGGAGAAGCCCACATCTGCTTCATCTGATGACCACTGACCAGAACTGTACTTGCCACATTTTTGCTGTTTCAAGGTGGCTGTACCCAGGTTAAATCTAAGCCTTGCCCCCTTCCCAGCTCACAACACAGCTTCCTTCAGCTTCTGTTCAGCCCCTGTGGCTCTGGCCTCATGACAATTTTTTTTTTTTTTTTAGAAGCCTGCCTGTGAACATATACAGAGCCAGAGCAATAGCAATAGTTTATTTAATTCAAAAGAAGAGCTGGTGAAGTGAAGCCGTGCTGAATCCTCATCCAGTCCGTAACAATCCCTTGCTGTGCACCTGACCTTGCCTAGTGTGACTGGGATTGTGAAGCTGATCTAGATCTTGAGGTGGCCACACAGCATCCCACCCCAGGATAACTGTCTTGTCTGCTAACCCTCCATAAGTTGCTGTTCTGCCAGGCACATTTAGATCTGCTAAAGCAGCAGTGTGGCATATTGGCCCATGTTTCTGCCAGCTGGGACACAAATGTGCACCACAGCACTCTGGTTACTGAATTCCATGCTGAATTCGGCACTTGGCCCACTTGCAAAGGTGAAAAGAATTCACAAGATGTCTTCTGCACTTCCTTGTCTTGGAACTGGCACACCATCCTTCTGACTCATGGAGAAGTGATACAGGGAGATCTCCAGTGAACCCAGATAAACAGCTGCACATCAAAACCTGTCATTTGTGACTGAAGGATTAATTCCTTCTCTTAACATCATCCACCAAAAAAGAAAAAGAAGAGGTCACATCAAATACTAAATGTAGAGAGAATAGCAACAAGTAAAGGACTGAATGATTAACAGCTTCCTAGACTCCTGGGGATCTTCACTGCAGTCATGCACATGCACAGGGTGTGGCTCAGGGCAGAAAGCTTTGTTCCCTCCCTCTCCAGCAGCAGGACACAGACGACAGGGCTGTGTTTGAATAGCACTCTAGTCCAGATTTCAATTTCCTCTTTATTTCCTTCCTCTGCATTTCGTCTGTCTCTCCTTTCTCTGTTATCACCCATTTGTTGTTACGGGTATCCTCCTAATTTTTTTTCTCTGCCTATTTTTTTCTGCATGTTATTTTCTTTTCACTGAAAGTGACACCTGTGCCTCTTCCCTGCCTGTTTCCCTTCCCAGCGCCGTCGGTTCTGAATTTTGTCCAAGATGCAGCCATACATAGTATCGTTCCTGCTGCTTAGACCTTCAAGGCCTGTAGAAAAGAGCCGGATTTTCAGCTGTTATTGTTAAAAACACCTTGTTCCACGATCCCCAGAACTAATGAAGCCAGGTTTCCTGTGGTTTCCCGGCTGGCTGCGGTGGGCTCGTCTCCCGCTCTGTTTGGTGTCCGGTGTGCCCGGCGCTGCTGCGGGTCCCGAGCGCCGCGCGGTGCCCGCTCCGCGCGGCTGCCTGCGCCGCCCCGACAGCGCAGCTCCTCCTTCAGCTCTCTCTGTTGGAACACGAGTCTCTAGTCGCTGACGCTCACAAATCCCTCGGAACTTAATTATCTTTGAGGTTTCTACCTCTTTTATTCGTTTGTTTGCAACTAGCCAATGTGTTCTGACATTTTTATGAGGGGCTGATGGGCAGATAAACAGGCAGATGATTGATTCTCAGTCTTTAGGAAGGAAGGTTGTTGCCCCGTGGTCATGGAGATAACCTGGGAACAACCCAAACAGCTGAAAAAGAACATCAAATCCTTTATAAAATTTTGAAAATTGCACTTTCTGTGTGCAGACAGTTTTGGTTGTGGCATGCTCACATGTCTGATCAACCTCTTTTCATCCTGCTTGGGGATGTCCCATGTCTCAACTCTCTTCTGAAGGATGGGGAAGGGGAAGAAAGGGAAAAGAATTATTCTTCATTAAGCCGCAATTTGTCAGCTGTACTGAGTAACCACTGAGATCCAGCCTGCCCTAGCACTCATGCTGCCACCATCCTTTATAAGAAATTTTTATCAATAATGGGAAAGCAAAATGCACAAGTAGTAGGATTCTACCTGATTCTACCCAACAAAGATATAAACAAAGCATATATAAGGATTTTTCGCTCTCCATTTGATGCTTCTGGTTTGGATAGGGCACTACATCATCTTCTGCTAGTGACTGAAATGACCCAAATATACATATTTATATTTCTACAGTCTATAAATCACTCTGGGATCTACTTTTTCTGTATAAAAATGCCAGATAAATCTAAAGTGTTATTATTAGATTTGTGAAATGTCACTGTGCACATCCTGATTTTTATGCCCTTTGCACCAAGCTCACATAGCAGATCAATTTGTAAACATCTGGGGTTGTTCTTTACTTGATGGATTTCTCAGTGTCCATTTTCCAACAATCCAGAAAAAAAATGTTTAGGGATGAAATAATCTAAGGTTAACTGTGCAATTCCCTTCATTTTTTCTTTTGATGCTAGAAAATCTTTGATCCACCCAGAGCAAGTGGGTTTTGGTATTTCCTAACCAACCCCCACTTGATACATTTGTTTACCCCTGTGCAAAATGCTACCCAGTCAAAATTTTCCTTTTGTTTAGTTTTACATATACTTTTTACAGATATAAATTACTGCACAAAGGTATGAGATAAAAAAGCAGCAGGCACTGGATACAATTTCCATGTGGAATCCAGAGAAAGCCTTATATGGATGTGTGCAACAGCTATATGCATATGCATAACTATTACAAGTAGCAGCCCTCGCAGTCAGGAATTGATGTTCTGACATTGCCCCAGTTGCACCTGGCTGTGTGTGAGCCTGGTTAAGAGATCCTTGGTTAATGAAGAGGTTCATATAGGCAATGCTTACATTTTTTAAAGCTATCTTGATTTTTTTGAGAAATGTAATGAAAAAAAAAATTATAAGAATGAAATTTCTATGAATTTTCATCAGGAAGTTTAGTGGTGTTTCAAAATGTAGGTAAAATGAAAATTAATATAAAATATTG